GGAGTCAAATTATTTGCTTCTGGTTACGTCTTTTTCAATGGTTTGATCCCAATGAGTGTATTGTGTTTGAAAGATAATGCAAATTTTTCCCCCGATCTGGTATCTAGGGTTTCCGATTATGTTCGTACGATTCTGCATCTCATGATTGTTGATATAACTTTTTAATTTGAAGATCCATCATTTATTGATTGATGATTTGTTTAATAGGTCCAAGTTTCATCTTTTTTTATTTTTTTATGAAGTTCCTCGTGTCTTAGCTCTTTAGTAAGTGTTTGATTGTAGCTCTTCATAAATCTATTTTTCAATGAATTTGGTTATTCGACAGTACGAATTTCTGGTTGTTGAATTAATGGGATTAGTATAACATTGAAGTTTCATTTGATTTGACCATATGGTGGATTCGTGCTCGATACATCATTTCACTTTTATGCCGTTTGTTATAGCTGTGACCACTCTTTTTCCTTAATCCACCCTTTCGGTGAATGATGTTTGTGAACGATTCGCCGGACTTGATATGTTCTCTGGAGCTTCGTTTTGCCACATGTTTTTATATGGCTTGGTGATCATCACATCCTACTGCTTAATGTGTTCAATAACGAAAACATTATATAATTATATATGCTTTACATAAAAGGGCATTCACATTTATGATAATCAGTATAGACAAGGTAGTGGCAGAGCCTGACTTTTTATATAACCTTGAATCTTCATAATGCTAAGATTGAGAAATTTCTCTTAGTTGACCGAGTGTATTGGCCACCTCCACGAAACTATTTATCTAAGTGATTTGCTCTCTCATCAACCTGCACATTGGTTTTTCTGAATTTTGTATTTTTCATTCTCCAGTGTGAGTTCTTTTTTGTAGATTTAGTAAAATCGGTCGTTATCGAACATTTTTCATTGCCCTGTTATTGTGAATTTTCAAACATTTAGGAGGTCAAGATATGAAGAAAAGTAACCTTTTTGTAATATTTACAACTTGTTTTGAAGTGTAGACCGCTTGTGATCTCGAATAATTCTAAATACATAGTAGTTCAATCGGGGTTTAAACATAACTGCTACTATATCTAGGTGACTAGTTCACCTAAAACAACGTATCCATCTTTCTGGTTCTAGTGGTGCTATTTGCACAACGATGCTGTCTTGTGGTGGTTGAGTAGAGTTTGAAGAGCTAGTTTGGCTGCAGTCCGCAATCTTCTCACAGGTTTCAATGAGGCAGTGTCTGCAGGTCGGACAGGACGAGTGTGAACTGAGCCATTTGTCTATACACCGGACATGGAATCCGTGGTGGCATGTCGGCAGCAGCTTCACACGCTCTTCGGATACGAATTCTGAGAGACATATGGCACACTCGGTATCTAGGCCAGGCAGATTCAACTCAGTAGAGTAACTTACTGTCTGGAATCTCTTCAAGGCTTTTCGTTTGACTCCTGTGTTGGTCAAGCGAAATGTTGTGTGGTTGTCACCAACTTCGGATGGTACTAAATTGGAGCACCTCAAGGCACATCTTATTATAGAATTGAGTCCAAGTGAACAAACGAGTGCACATAAGAGGACTGATAGGACCATAACAACATTTGCATCAAAGTTGTTATCACCTACATGTGCGGATGGCGCCGGAGTTGGTGATTGATCACGGGTATGAAATAGTAATCTTCTTGAGTAAGAACTTCCAAGAATTTCTTGAAAGATCTGAGTTGGTTTCATGGTAGGAATAGAATTAGCAGTTGACATGATAACTTGGTTTTAAGATTGATTTGTGGTTTTACTAGGATTTTTTGTTGAAGCTTGTTTATATAGAGGAAAGCTGAGGTTTCAATGTATCTTTTAGATATTTTATTGAGGAATTGCCTTTTTAATTTAATTTAAGCTATAAAGATCAAGCCCATAGTAAGTTCCTTTACCTTTAGTGTCTGATTTTATTTAAATAATTTGCAGCTTAATATGCTTTGCTATAGAAAAATGGATCAATCATACTAGTTGCTGCAATGGTAGTGCCATGTGGCTGTGGCTTTAGCAAATCAAATCTCTTAGAATTGCTTCTAGGGTCCCATGAGCTTTTACCGAAGCAGCCACGAACTTTCCCTATCTTTTAGATAACAACATTCGTATAATATCTCATTGTGCCTTGGTATTATGGCCTTCTAAATTCATGTTTTTCTTACCTTTAAAGAATTTAGCAAGGTATGCCTCATACATTAGTATCATATGCTTTTTTTTTTCTTTCGGTTATGGCGTTGAAGAAGATCGAATTTTCCAAAGCTTCTTTCGAACTTCTTGTTACTTTTTTTTTACTAGTTATTGTCAAGGTTTCCTTAGCTAGTTCAAGCATCCATTGATATAGTGTCTAATATATAAAACTAAACAAGGTTTGAGTTAACTTTTTTTGTTTGCTTTCTTTCCCTTTTTGCTATTTTTTTAACAGTGGTGGATCTTAAAAGTTTTGTGGTTTTTAGATGTGTACGGATGAAATATTCCCATTTAGTGAATTCTACTTATGTTTGGGGAACAGGAATCCTCCCCCCATCTGTAGTAACTCAAGCTGTCCATAGAGCAAACCAAAAGGACAAATTTCTCTCACAATCAATCTTGTTAAAGGCTACTTTTTCTAAATAGTTTTTATCTTTACATTACCTTTGTTTTTAATCAGAGCTAAAGCAATTGGTCCCACGAATGAGCAAATAGAAAATGATTTCTTTTTTTTGTTTGCTTTATGAGATATCATCTTTCATTGGTTGCAAATTGTGAGGGTAATCTACATGAATCTAGTATCAAATGTTCTTTTTCTTGTAGCTCCCAAATCAAAGCAAGATTCTTTGAAAGGTGCTTCTCTTGTAGAACATAGTTTTTCTTACTACTTGCTTATAGTTGGTTTAGTTAGAAACATTGGATTTGGGAAGATTAGGTATCTTTGTGATAAAAAGTTGATATTACATAGAAGGAGAGGCCTCTTTTCTATCTTTTCTTACCAGACTCACTCGGAAAAGGATTCCTTTTTTCTTTTGTCTGTGCCATTTAACTGGTACAGACAAGTGGTGGTCAGTTTTTTGGTTCCTTCTTTAAAAGCAAATAAAGTTTACTTTTTATTGTATATGCTATAATGATTCTTTTGCTTGGAATATCTTAGTTTGATACTTATTCACCTTTTAATCAAAATTGTTGATTGTCATGACTATATAAGTAACTGCAGGAGTAACAAGAATTGAGATGTGAAAACTGAAAAAAGTTGCAGAGAGAAACATCATTCAAAGTAAATTGGTCATTTTCTTTGAATGGATCAAGTGAAATGTTACCAACATATCAAATAATTATCCTTGTTATAACTAATCAATGGTATGATAATTGAGGTGAAATAACACGACTTGGTGAGAATTGGAATATTTCAGGGAAATACTCGAGTAAGAGTTTTGCTGGATGCATCCATGTTGTGAAAATGGATTTTAAAAAGCCATGAAAAAAAGTTTCAGGAACATCATAATTAAAGTCCTCTTTTGCTAGAAATTGGAAATACTGAAACACATAGCATTAGTCCTATCTCTTGATAATCTATCTACTATTATTGATGTTCAACTTGGTGGAACCAATTCTTAATCATTACTCTTCAATGCCAATTCTCAGTGTTAGTCTTTTGGTTAACTTTTGAGTGAAATATCTTTCCTACTAAATATCTTTTTTTTTTGTCTTGATAATTCTCAGTGTTAGTCTTTTGCTAAGCTTTCAAGTAAATATCTATTTGTTCATTTGCAGAGAACTTCATTTTGTAGCAGCTCTTATGCTTTATAACGGTATGTCGACAAACTTTTCTCCATTATATTATTCGCATAATTCTGAATAGTATAAAGCTACTAAATTTATTATATTACAAAAAGTTTAGACATGAATCTATCTTATTTGATTAAGTTCTTTAGTCCAACAAGTGGCCGGGATTTTCTTAAAGCACTAGCATACTATTTTGAAACATTATCTTCCAAAGCTACCATTGTCCTCTAGTGCTTCTGTATTTACATACTGTTTTACCTTTATACGTTGTTAATTAATCGATAGTTTCCCCCCACACCAAAAGAACATCATAATAATTGCTATGGGACTCATCAAATGGTTGCGGAATATTGAACATCTTTAATGTTTTGTGAGAATTGTTTAGTAACTGTTTTGATGTTCAATGTTTGTTCCAATAGTAAACTCAAGGAAATTTTGTAGACAGCCTCAAATGTTGAGAGAGTTGAACAATTTTGGACCATTAGCTGTTGCAGCAAGGGCATTTACTTAAGCTAAATCCGCAATTTATCATGGTAAATTGGTAATTACAATACTTTGTTGTTGCAGTTTTCACACTTTCAGTGGCTACCTGTAAACCACAGTCTTCTGTTATTAACCAATAAACCTTCTTTTTTGTGCACAACCTCAATTACTATTAAATTCTCACTTTTCTAGTCAGGCAGTGCTTATTAATTGAACTTTTTAACACTTTATTTATATCCCATCCAATCACAAATGCCTAGGATCTTAAGCCTTATCTGAATCATCATTTGTTTATGACTTGTATATTTTTTGTTTTGATAACCTTGTTTATGACATGTTGCTGCCTTTTAAACTGCAGGATCTCCAAAATCTCATAGTTAGAACGTGTGGTCCTTATCTAAACTAGTAGTTTTTTTTACAATGGATTGTGGATTCCTGCGTGTTTAGCTGGTTTTTGACTCACTAAGTTATCAGGATTCCGAGTTTCATATTTGGAGAATCTGTGAAAACGACTAAGATAACAAGTTGATCACTCCATGTATTATTTGATATTTGCATGGCTTTTTTTATCATAGAGATAAAATCAAAGTAGGCCAAGTTTGTAGTTTTTCTTCTGTTTCGATACTACGAGATAGGACTGAGGTTAGCCTCAGTTCAATTATCGCGGCAATAACTAAGGTGTGCACCTGTTATGGAGAAAAGAAGCTTAACAGAGTAACCATGTAACATGTGTTTTTGAGGTAGTTTGATTAGATGTCGGGGTAACTTTTGAGGCATCAACATGGTAATTGGTATCAACTGTCAGACTAAAGTTGCTGATGCTTGTGATTAGAATAATCGAAAATGTAATCGTGTTTTGTTTGATGGAAGTGAAGGATTTCTCTGTGATCTACGGGGAAGGATTCTCTCGACTAGGAGGGTATTTATAAACTTAAGTCCACCATTTGGATAATTTATTATGGCATAGATATGTCTGATGTCAAGACTATATCCCATAGGATGGGTGTATACACTTGACTGGCAATTGAGAATCTTACAAGACCAAGTTTGGTATAGCTTGATATCTTACAAGATCTCCCAAACTAGTTTTTAGGTCTGACTTTGACCCATACCATAAACTTAGGTCAACTGGTTTTGCCTATTTTGGGTTGGGTCCATATCACTTTCCTAAGGCAGAGTTGATTTCGTCATCATTGGGATGAAGAATTATGTGGTATTTGCTGTCCTGATGACTCATGTGTGTGGAACGGTTTTGAAGCCTGAAGTTAGTTTATTAAGCGAGTCAAGTCAAGTGGATAGATGTATTTTTCTTCATAAACATCATGCATTTGTCACTATCAGTCATATACGCAATCAGGACTGTAATTGCATCGCGTAGACTAAACACTGCTTCTTCACGCAATACCTTGGCATTCATTACCGGGAAACCATTTGTTCTTTCTAGTGATTGTGACACATAAGAATAGATGACTAGCACTTATCAGTCTTTGGTTATAGATGATTCTTATTGTTTTCGGATAAGAATTCATAATTCTCATTTCACAGGAAAAAATTACTTTTCGCAAAGAGAAGTTTGATGAACTCAGTGAGATGCTACTGAAAAGTGAAATATATTCTCTCTGTATACACTTTGTGCTACAGGCAAAAAAGAAAGACATAAAAAAATTGAAGTATCTTGTTTGTTTCTTTTGGAACTCTTCTGTGCTATAGACATGAATTGCTACTTTCTCTAAAAGTGTTTACTCTGCCTTCAGGTTCTAGAGGAGCATTATCGACGATTACGTTCTCTGTTGGTGCTGCTGCTGGCGTTACCGTCACTTGATCAGCTTGACTGAAGTCACCTAAGATCTTCTGGCATGTCTCAACAAGACAGTGTCTGCATTTCGGACAAGTCAGATGTTGTTGAAGCCACTTGTCAATGCAACGAACATGGAAACCGTGGTTGCACTTAGGGAGCAGCCTGAGCTTTTCACCAGAAACAAAATCTGACAAACAAATGACGCACTCTTCGCCAAGCCCTGACAGGTTCATCTCAGGTGAGTAACTCACGACCGGGAACATCCTAAGAGCTTTCTTACTGATTCCTTTGTTTGATGAACCATGTGGTGTCGAAATACTGGAGACAGGCTCGGAGATCATGAACCTTGAAGAACGTCTGTATGCACAACGAATGATGTAATGTAACCCGATGCAGCAGATGATTCCACAGATGAGGACTGAGAGAAGCATCGAAGCATTCCCACTGAGGTTGTTCTCATGGGTTATGAGAGGAGATGGTGCAATCGCAAGGACTCGTTGAGTGTTGTGGTCAAATGGGTTGTGCGAAAGCAGCTTTCTAGAGACAAAACCGCCAAGGACTTGTTCGTGGAAGGCTTGAGCTGAAGAAGGTAACTCATTTGCAGACATCTTTTTAATCTTTGAGAAAAGCTTTGGACAAAATCTCTCTTTTCT